AATTGGTACACATCCTGGTACTTTAAGAAAAGTAGAAATATAATTATCCTCTGGACTAATCTTGATTATAACTGGCTGTACCCTATTGTTTTCTTTCTCACTATTATCAATAGCACCTTTTTTATTTTGAAAACTATTTTTAGATTTTGCCCCTATTTTCCTGTAATAATTTCATTTTAGAATTTCTTTCTTCGATTTAAATCTTCTTATCATCTGTTGCCACATCCATTTGAAAATATTAAGTCTATAAGCTCTTTCCATAATAAATAGCCAATCATATTCGGAATCACTAAATCCAAGTTGAATATCAGGGATGAAGGCTTTCCAGCATAATGCAAATGCTTTCAGTAAATTTGTCTAGTTCCTATATACAACTGTTATTCATCGTGGGTCTGGTGCAGTTTCAATATCAACAAGACAGATTTGTTTTAACGGTCTTAGATCATCTTTCCAGTGCAAGGTTATACAAATTATAAATACGATACTTTCTTCATCATGTATTTCTGCAAATTCACCCAACTCTCGTGATTGTGTCTCTATATCCTATGTAAGGATAAGCATACAATCTCTTATGAGTGCTGAAATTGGAAAACGGTTACTTATCATTTTTAGATCTTCTACTGGCCGAAAATCGTTTATAGAAACCTAAAAATCGTGTGTATAATGAGAATGTTTTTTGTATCTATACTTACTTATCATAGACCAACCAGAAATTGCGATTTCATTTTCTTTAGCTATTTTATGATGGAATGAAAACATATCATCTGAGGCAGTTTTGAAATTTTTATCTTGGATAGCTTGGAGTGCTTTTTTTCTATCTCCAGTACCAAATGTAAAAATATGTGGATATAACTTTTTTTCTGTATTATACCCAGTAATGGGAAGGCTTTGATTTGTTCTATTTTATAGGCATTTATTGTATTACAAAGAATTTTGTCTATTTTTATCTTAAAATTATCTACAAATTCATTATCAGATATTAAGATATCAAAGAAAACTCGAATTCCTGTAAGAGTAACTACCGCTTTTTGACCGTTGATAAGGGAGCCATATAGACACAAAACATAATGGTACTTGTCACCTATTTTATGTGATGATCCCTCAAAATCGACAGCCATGAAAGGGATCTCCTCTTGTTTAGCCAAAGTATTATTAAGAATCGTAGATAAGCTTTCATCATTTTCTGCGAATATATTACGACTTGAAATTCCTGTTAAATAATCACCACCAAAGTATTGGATAAGTTGACCTTTTTCTGAGTTTTTATTTTCTGAAATCTGTGATTGAGGGAAAGCTTTGGGGCCCCGGTGGTAGGCTCGAAGAGCCATTGCTCTGCAATAGAAGGCCCTGTTATTTTCTTCCTCTATCTCTAGTTTGAAATTCTCCAAGTTTTCCAGGCTCTCTGGTTGATAAGGTGGTGCTTCTGATTCTGCTAGCACGTGATTAATATTTTCTTGGAAATTTTGATTATCCACAGTTGGTGTATTGGGTACAATAGGCATGCTATGTTTACTTTGGGTACTCATGTTTTTTCTTAAAGTATATTACTCGGAATTAAAAAGTTCAAAATAAAAATTAATTCTAAAGAATATTGATCGATACATATTATATACTCAATCAAGATAAACATCAAAAAGAATGGCATTTTATCGTTGTCTCTATATTCTTAGGACTGGAAAAGTCTGTAATCGGGAGTGTTATCATCCCAAGAGGTGCAAAGTTCACCGTAATTCTCCACCACAAATTCTTTGTAAAGAACATAATTGTATTAAGTTTACCTCTTCTGGTTATGGTTATTGTAATCCTCATGCACAGAAACATCGTAAAAGAGAGTATAGACATCAGAAAAAGCTAGAAAAGATGGTGCAAGATGAGGAATCGGAGATTCAATGCTCTGCATTATCTGAGGTAAAAGACTTTTAGTAATTTACATGTAATATGTAGGTATGTATGTTGGGGTTACGTCCAAGTTTTTTTCTAGAACGTAAGCTAGGACGGAAAAAAATATACTTGTCAGTAATTTCAAACCGAACGAAAGAGTTTTAAACTAACCGTCCAAGTTGTCCAGGTTGTCCAGGTAAATTTCAAGATTTCTTTACTCTTACATTTTTATCTATATGTATACATAGATATATATATATATAGTATATATCATATATATACCAAAGGTATGTATATAGTGTATACCATAGGAAAGAGTTTGATATTTTTCCTAGAATTTTATTTTTTACCTAAACAACTTAGACAAAAATAGAACAAGTATAGAAGAACAAGTTAAAACAAAATTAAACCTTTTTTTCCTATAACATTATCCATCCAAGTTAACTTTTTTTACTAGGACGAAACCTGGACGATTTTTTTTTCTTGGACACGAGCAAATCCATTTTAACCGCATTCTAGGGTAGCATTTGCGTGATATATTTGAAAGCATGACTCGATAGCATATACCCGATAGCATAATTGATAGCATAAATACAAATATAACCTATATAGCACCCGATGTGTAGACTATAATATACTTAGGTGTGACGACGTGATTATAAAATTGTTGACATATTTTTATAGATCGTGGGGCATCTAAGTGTGACGACATGAACTCAAATTCGTCGTCATATTTTTTAATAGATTATGGATACCTAAGTGTGACGACAAACTCGTAAACCAATCGTCACTCGAATGATGATGTATATATGCCCCCGTTGTCACCCGAATGACGACAAACATATGATCCTGTCGTCACTCGAATGACAACAGACATATGATCTCGTCGTCAGATATTAAGTAGAAATAACATAATTATGTTATTTCCACTTATATTAATAATACAAATTTTATTAAAAAATTTTTAAAGTTTAAATTTTAATTTCACAACTCTTTTCAATAATCACTTTTACCAAAATTTCCAAAAAACTTTTTACTAGAAAAAAATATAAATGCCTATACTAAACTTAATAAGATATGCAAAAAGGGTCCTTAGAATAGCAACTATCATTTAAAGATAGTTCTTATATGCTATCGGCTAATTTTTTTAAAGTTTATTACTTACTGTGGTGACAAGCATGGCACTTGTTATTTAGAAATAGTTCTTCATATGCTATTTGCCGACAAGCTCAGAGTTTATCACTTATTAACAAAATTTAATACTGTGCAAACTCCAGTGTGGCTTTATTTGATTCTAGTAAAAGAAACTCATACTCTTTTATTTTGTATACAAGTGGTTTTTCTTCTATACTCCACCTTTTTGCCGCTTTTTCAAAAATTTCAACAAAAAGTAGGCATTTTAGCTTATCCTTTTAAAAGATCGGCATTGTTTATACCTTCCATTTTAGATGGACAAAGTAGAACATAAACACAGGATTGTTTTAACAATAATGACCTATACTATATAATGAGCCAATCAGTGCTTTGGTTAATGAACCGACCTGAACCAAATAGTAAAGTCAGAAAAAAATTTTAATGATAAGGCTTAGCTTTACAATAAAGATATTCAAGATTTTTAAATTTAGTATATAATTTTTACAACTTGTGCCTAGCATATGCTATAATAGTGCTTGTATAGATTTTTTTTTTTTTGTTTTTTTCTTCTTGTTTTATTTGCTTCATTTTTTTATTTTCTTGTTGCTTAGGCAATTTTTTTATTCATCCTTTTGTGTCATTTCCTTTACCTTTTAGTGTTCTTTTTTTTTTTTTATAAGTCAGTTAGAGACTATGAATCCTTCTGCTTGCAAAGCTAGAAAAAAAAGGTTTAAAAAAGATAGCAGTTTTAATAGGCTATAAATACTATTCAGTGAAATATTGAAGAATTTACTTGCAGGGTTGTTTGATATGAAGATAAATATTTACTATAGCAGATCAAACATAGGTATTTGCTTGAGAACAACCGGGTTAGCCAACACTTGTAACTTAGATAAGCTTAAGGTGACTTGAGTTATAATTAATATTTTATCTGTAAGTTTAATATTGCATCCTAATAAAGTAATTAGCAAGATTGTCAAATTTTTTTAAAAAAAAAAAAATTTTAATTCCAAAAAACTATTACTAAAAAAAAAAACACAATATACTAGAGTAAAGTTATTGACTTATATATAAGATAGAAGAAAAAAGACTATAAGTTAGTAGCTGTTATTTAGAGGTAGTTTTTATATGCTACCTGCTAATAGCCTCAGAGTTTATCACTCACTACAAGCATAGTACATATTATTTAGAAGTAGTTCTCATATGTTACTTGCTAACAAGCTTAGAGTTTATTACTTACTAGAAAGACTTAGTACTATGCAGGCTTAAATATATATACTTTTTTAGTGGCTTTAAGGGTTTTTTTTTCTCTCTTGTATTTCACCAACCTTACCAAAAAAGTGAATATTTTAGCTTACTTTTTTCAAAAAATCAATATTGTTTATACTTTTCATTTTTGTATAAATATGATTCTATATTACATAATAAACCAATTGGCACTATGGTTAATAAACCGACTTGGATTAGATATTAAAGTTAGAAAAATTTTTAACAATAAAGCTTAACTTTACAATAGAAATATACAAGATTTTTAAATTTAAAAATTAGTTTGTTTTAAATTTAATTAGGTATATAATTTTTACAACTATATCTAGCATGAGCTATAATAGTGCTTTTATAGAAATTTGGGTCAAAATTCTGATTCCTAAAAGAATATAATACTAACAAAGTTAGCTGACACTAGCCATAATGCTAGCTAATTTAGTCAGTATTATATTTTTTCGATAATTTGTTGTTTGGAATTTTAACCCAAAATTTTTTATAAATTGATTTTTTTTTTGCCTTTTTCTTCTTCTTTTATTTGTTTTTTTTTATTTGTTTTCTTGTTGCTTAGATAGTTTTTTTTTTCTTTTCTTTTATATTGTTTTCTTTATCTTTGTTAGTATTAGTTTTTTTTTATAAATTAGTTGAAGATTATAAATCTTTCTGCTTTAGAAGCTAAAAGAAAAAAATTAGAAAATGAGGTGATCTGATAGACCATAAATACCATTTAGTGATGTATTTAAGAATTTATTTGTAGGGTTTTTTGATATAAAAATAACTTTACTATAGCAGATCGAATATAGATAATTTAAGTATTTTGGTATCACAAAAAGCCAAATTAGTAAATACTTGTAAATTAGGTAAACTTTAAGTAACTTTAGTCAAAAGTACATTTTTGCCTGTGAGTTTAAATATTTATATTTAATTGATGATCCTCTAGTTAACTAAAGCATGATCATAGTAAAATGTGACTCAGATTACTATATAAATTTATTATAGTGCGAATGTGGTGTATACGCATCTAAAACTTTTTTTTATACTAAGTTAATCATCTTTCTTGCTTAAGAAACTTTTGTAAAGCTTGTCAAGATATATCTAATG